GATCTGGAACATTCCCAGATAAGTACTGCTGATCCTTCGGAATACAAAACAAATTGCTTTCTGCTATATTAGCTCTTGACATTTTTGGCTGTAAAGAATGGGCCAACCCCATAAAAATGAATATATTTCTGTCATTCCGCCCCCTTCCGCAGTGCCTTTCCCCAAGGTAGCTTCACAACATACAATAAAGAACAACTTGACATCCTCTTCAACAATAAAAAAGCATTATCTGCAAAAAAAAATTGGACAAATGTTCTAATTTGTTTTTCTCAAAAGGAAATCATTATAAGCAGTGAAAAGAAATTGTTATAATCTTGAATTGATCTTATTTCTTTCCTAAGAGAGGAGTACATTTTCAGTATTAAAAAGAATGAGACTATTTCCTTTGCATATGCGCAGGGGCAGTGAATTATTTAATGTGGCTTTTCTAGCCCAAATTGCTAACACCCATGAAATGACCTTTTCCTGTAAGGTCTGGATAAGAAGGTAGAGGAGCAGACTGATAAGCATTCATTCACCTGGGAGCAACTGTTAACAAGATTCATTGTGATTGTAACCCTGTTGGGTATAAAATGAGCCCTCTGAGAAACAGGAGCAGGTGTTCTACCAACAAGAATACCTCATTCTCTTCTAGACCAGGAGAGCCTAGCACTGTGGACCTCCTTGATCCAGAACAGAGTCAGGCCCTCAGAGGAATGGGCAAGGAACATCAGCAGTAGTAGCAGGACCAGGAATCAGCTACATGAGACAGAGTGGTGGACTTCCCAGCCCCCGGAGCACGTGAAGCTGAGTGCTGGAGGCTGACTTGTGGAGTGGGAGCCTCTAGGCCGTAGCGTCTCGGGACTTAAGTGGGGGAGTTTGATATGCTGACCCATGGAACTGGAGCTGAGGGTCTCTGGGTTGGGCTTACAACAGAGTGGTATGCCCTTGGTGTATTTATTAGCAGCCCCGAAATAACTTATTGACATATACTGATGGAATTTTGTTTTGAGACTTTCCACCTGAATTAATAGTCTATTAACTTCCTTAATGAACCCTTAATCATGAATATTGTTTGTGAGTTCTGTGTGGCTATTGCATTGAAATTATAGAAGTTAGCAATAAAATAGTGTTGTGTTTGTGACAGAACAATATATTTGACTATGCTCTAAAAATACAGTGATGAGTCTCAATCTCATCTCATGATGCAAAAGGCTTATGTTCATAGTATATTTGAAACCCCCCAAACTAAACCAAACCCGCAACTATCTAGTCAATTTCCACTCATAACAACCCAATGTGGAATTTCCATGACTATAAATCATTATAGGAGCAGGCAGCCTCATCTTTCTCCTTGGGAGCTGCATGATTTGAACCACCAACTTTGGATTTACCAGTGCAATACTTATCTGACAGTGCTACCAGGACGCCTTAATATATTTGAAATTTCTGTGAAATATAAAATGTCATAGAATTGTCTGGCATTATTCATCATAATTCTTATACACTAAAGGCCATTGCATTACTATACAATTGGAATCATGCCAATACAATCATTTATGTACAGCTACAGAAGGTAAATCAGTAGTACAAGGCTCTATTTCTAGGCGAGTAGAGTGCTGAGAGGAAAGACTGGGTGTGTTAATTACTTCCCATGCGCAGGTGTTATGATCTGAGGTAGGAAAATGAAAACAAAACAAGGAAAATGGGAAGCAGGGACTTTCAACGTTGTTTACTTACAATCAAGCCACTGTTTGCTTGCTTTTTATCTCTGCCGTGGACCCGCTTGTAGAAAACTCCACCTGGATTAAACTGAGTACTCCATATAATCATATCGCTTTGATAATATACATCCATCCCTGTTATCCTTGAGTTATGTTCAATATGAGAAATTTGTTGATGATCACCACTGTAGTTGAATGGATATATAAAACCCAGGATATCAGTGTCATTAGCAATGTAGAGAACTTGATCTTCAGAGCCTGGAGATTATTATAATGAAATACAAAAATAAAATAAATTTTAACTAAAGTAAAGGTAATCAAAATACTTTCAAGTTATATTGAGATTTTATTACATATTCTCTCATTCAATAAAAATCAGATAACATGGTTATACTTTATAATCATGATTTATAATTTCTAATAACCATTTACCTAAACATTTCAAACTATTGATGCAGATATTTATTGTGGAAAGCTCATTTATGGTTAGAAATTAGATATTTGTAGACGGCACCATTTTCATGGAAAGGGCTTACTATTTGGTCAATAGCAATTATACTTCATTCTAATACTTTAATTCTTAATATGTAGACACTATATTGTATATGTATTAAACTTAAAAGTTTCTGAGTATTTAGTTTACATTCATGATTAGACATTACAAAAGACCAAGAAATGAAATTGACATATGTTGGGCCTAATTTTTCCAGTATCTGTATATTGAACTCCTAGTGATCCTACTGATTAGTAGAACTGCCCCCTGGGGATTATCAGGGCCCCGGAGTCAGGATTGACTTTATGGCAGTGAGTTTTAGGTTTTGTTTCTTTCTGATTTTTAAATCATAAATGTTGTCTATATTGTATCAAGAGATCCATATTAAGGTGCTCTAATTTCATTATCTGAAATTATGTTAAGTGGAACTCTTTAGGCAGAAATGGAGGTGCTTATAATATTGATATCATTCATATTGAGTAAAGTGATTTTCTTATATAAATCCTGAAAATATTGAGATTTTTAAATAGATTGTCATGTGTATATAGTATCTGTGAGTTTTTTAAAAGAGGTGATGCATTTCAATCCAACGATTGCCATAGCTCTCTCTTAGAGATTACCTACTTGTGGCATGCATAATGCTTGGCCATTCAGTATTTAACAGCAAAAATAGAAAGTATCCCCCTTTGGACAGATCAGGAACTTCCAATGAGTTTGATGAAGTGTCTCAACACCAACCATATATCCAGAAAAAAGTCTAATTCTGGAATTCAAGGATAAGTACAGCTAAAATCAGAACCCACAACAAATCCTAAGCCTCCTGGTGCTGTCGTCTTGTAATAACTCTGTTGTCAAAGGTCCAACATACTCATAGGTCACTGGGAATGATTAGTAAGGACCTCTGCAATAGAGCATGTGAGTACTTTATATCTTAAAAAACTCAACTGCCATATATGTAATATACTTATATACATATATTTATATTCTCATGCACATATTTGCCATGGGGGTCTTAATTAGCATAATGTTTTAAAATCTTTAAAGCATTACTCAAAATTGAATTATCATTAAAATATTAACCTTTAATCTTTAAAAAAAATCTTAACCTTTTCACAATTTCTCATACACAACAGATATCTCTCCAAAAGATATTTTATATTTTTCAGTCTTTTCATTCATTTACACATCTGAAAAATTGTTCAAATGCGAAGTGATTTTTAACAGTAGCCACATATTTGAGAGTTGTATCTAGACACCATCACAGATTAGCTTAATTAGTAAAAAGAGCAACCCAAATAAATAAGAATTACAATATAAATTTATATTATCAGGAAGGAAGTTATTGCTAAAATTCAATAGATAACTGTTTTTTGTTCCTGTTAGTTACTATGGAGCCAGCACTGACCATTACAGACCAAAACACTGCATGGTCCTGCTCCATCTTCTTAATCCCATAGATGCAGCCACTGTGTCAATCCATCTCATAGAAGGCCTTCCTCCTTTTTGCCACCCCTCCACTTTACCAAACATGACTAGTCTCGCCCGACAATAGGACCAAAGTATGTAAGATGAAGTCTTGCCATCCTTGCCTCTAAGGAGCACTCTGGCCTTTCTTCTTCCAAGACAGATCGGTATGTCCTTTGAGCAGTCCGTGGTACTTTCAATATCGTTCTCCAGCACTCCAATTCAAATGCTTCTATTCATCTACACTTTTCCTTATTCAATGTTCGATTTTCTCATGCATATGATGCAATGGAGAATATCTTGCTTTGGGTCACGTACATCTTAGTCCTCAAAATAATATCCTTTCTCTTCAATACTCTAAGGAGGTCTTGTGCAGCAGATTTACCAAATGCCATATGTCTTTTGATCTCTTGACTGCTGCGTCCACGAGCATTGATTGTGGATCCGAGCAAGACAAAAGCCTTGACAACTTCGAACGTTCCTCCATTTATCATGATGTTACCTATTGGCCCAGATGTGAGTATTTTGGTCTTCCGTACGTTGACTTGTCCTCCATATTGATGGCTGCAATCCTTGATCGCCATCAGCAAGTAATTCAATTGCTCCTCAAGTTCCACCTGAGCACAATGCGGTCTTCTGGAATTCCCAGTTCTCCCAAGGGTCTGCACAGTTTATTATCCACACAGTGCATGGTCAATGAAACACCTGTAAGCATCTTTTGGTATTCTCTGCTTTCAGGCAAGAGCCATCTAACATCAGCAATTATATCCTTTTTCATGTCGCCTTCTGAATCCAGCCTGAACTTTTGGCAGTTCCCTGTTATAAGCTCCTATTAGAAGTTTAAAGAAAATTTATGGTCATTTTTATAATTATGGCCATAACCTTACCTTTTGATATGCAGGTGTTATTTCTCTCTTCAAAATTCGGGTCACATGTACATTTGTATGATCCTTCCATATTAATACATTGGTGTGAACATGTGCCAAACACCAAACATTCATTAAGGTCTGGAAGAGAAAAAAACTGAAAATAGTATTAGTGTACCCCATTTAGTGCTTCCATTTTTTCATATTTCTAAAAAGCCCATTTTGTTCCTTCAAGTTATGATTAATAGTGCCTTCATACTTTCAAGTTTGAAATTGCTGTATAATATACTGTCATAATTTTATAAGTTTTACTATAGCAATTCATGAATTGATTTTAAACTGCTTGTTAATCTATTTAAAGAATAAAATAAGCACATCAGTTGTTTCTAGTATCTTCATTCACTCAAATAACCTCTCTTTAAAATTTCTTTAAAGCTTTTTTCTATTACCTTCCTCTATACCTTTGTACAGGAGCCCTGGTGACACAGTGACTTAACCTTTAGGCTCTTAGCTGACAGGTTAGAGGTTCAAACCCACCAGCTACTCCTTAAGAGAAAAATGAGAAAGTTTACTTTCATAGTGATTTTAGTCTTAAAAGCCCAATGGAGCAGTTCTAGTCTGTCTTATAAGGTTAACATGAGCCAGAATTAACAAAACGTTTGCTTTTGTCTTTGATTTTTTCTTTTTTGAGGTATACCTTTGACCATGGAACATCTACTTCTTTGTCCTCCACTGCACTTGCTCTCTCTTCCTCTTTCTATATGTACCTGAAATGAACCCTTCCTTTCTGCCTTGTAAAACCATACAGGAGTGACGATCTCCTTAGCCTCTCTGGGTTCTTCTTCCTTCAGAAGTTATCACATTATATTAAAGTTATATGGACATAAATCCATCTTTCCTATTTGATTGTCAGTCCTTGAAGACAAATGGCATGATTTATTTCTAGCATTTATTGCAATGCCTGGCAGAGACTGAAGACATGAATGAACCTATAAAGTATGGATTCATACAGGATTTATTTTTGTCAGAATGGTGTGCACTATGGGATCAGACTGCACTTAGGACAATGAAAATCTTTGGGGTCTAATCAGCTGCATATACATGAAGTGAAATGTCTTGAAAATGGCTATAGAGTGGCTATAAATGGCTATGGAGGGTCTTAAAATCTATGTAAAAATCAATATATAGAAACTACTAGCATAAAGCAATACTTTAAGAATTGGGCTATTTATCTGACTTCAGTGGCTTCAGCAGAGTCAGGAGTAAGGTCAGGTGATTCTGATGAATTAATCTACACTCTCTGGCTACTTTTTCTCCCAACCTGTAGTCTTACTTTGCTATAATCTATATTGCTTTTGTTGGTAGGTGCAGTTGCATTAATTTTCAAATCATACCAACCCCAACTAACAGGGAAGATTCCCCCGCCCCC